GCCATGTCGAGACGGCAGCTCGGGAGCTCTTGCAGAGTCTGGGGAAGGCATTTGCATAGTAAATTAAATGGCAGAATGACATTTTCTTTTAAACTGAGTGAGGCAGGAGTCTATTTTATTTACAATGTAAATCTGCTTACTACTGCACATGAAAAAGATCCTTTCCTTTTTTCAGATGAACTCTGTTACTGCCCTGCCTAGGAATCTTCCCTTATTGGAAATGGAGCTTATTCCTATATCACAGGGCTATCCATCTTTTAAGTGGTTGAGGGCCACACTAGTAGGGGCCATATTAATAGGGGCTATATCAGCAGGGGCCATGGCCCCAAGGACCTCATGCCCCCATCCCCAGTGTGTTTGTACCATCTGCTGTCTCCCTCCCACTGTGCTCCCCACCACTGCTGGTCTCCGCTTCTCCTGCTAGACCACATGCCCCAACTCACCCTTTGCTCCCTGGCTGTGAGCTCCATCATTGCAATATGCTGCTCAAGCATCCCAGGCTACAGGCTTCCACAGCACTGCAGTCTGCACTTCAGTGCCTCATCTTGCTCCCTGGGACACAAAAGAGAAGCCTGGAGCCCGGGTCTCCTGCTGCAGCTGGTGCAGTGGAGTGACCAGCAGCCAGGTGGGACCCAGAGTGTGCAGTTTGACCCCTCATGGGTCACATGCAGCCTGCAGGCTGCCTGTTGGACCACCCTGCTGTACCAGATTAAAATTCTCCTTTCTATCATAAAGGAAATTTTTTGCATAAATTTATAACTCACTCCATAATTGACTCCTTTGGATATACATGCACCCAGAGTTAAGGACAGATTTTATTTCTGGCTCTGCTTGGATAATTTTTTTTTGTACTTTGTTGTCACTAATTCTGTAAGCATTTGTCTTTTGTCTGACAACATGTTCCTAGCCTTGATAAGCAGACATGCAACAAACCTTAAAATCACTTCATTCTGTTTAATGTCTTGCATTTCCACCTGCTTCCTTGCCAGCATGATTTCAACTACCAGTATTTCATGAACTGCTAAACTGAAAGATCCATGCTTTTTGCTATCTGAAGGTCAGCTTTTTAATTGCTAAATTCCCGTTGGATTTTAAATAGGGGAGAGTGAGCAATCAGCAGTTAATTTTTTTATTTTAAGATCCAACATACTGAAGAAAGTGGGCCTGATTCCTCAGTAGCTTACTAGCCTTCAATTTGTGTTCTTCATTGTAATCAATGGAGCTACACTGTGGTAAAATTACTGTAAGAGTGGCAAATCATGGCCAGTAAATCTACAGTAAAAATTCTATGTGCCATTAGAAAACTGACTCACTGCTTTCCAAGGGTTTATAGATTTTCTCTGTTGCCCTGATCACTGAAGAATGAGACTTTAAAACTCTGACACGTCCTTCCATCTAACCAGTCTATTGTTGTCACTACCATGACAGAATATATCAAGTACATGGCTGAGGACAAGTATAATTTTTATTTCCTGTACTGACTTGTTATCAGTGATCCTTGACAAATCAATTAAGTTATTTGATTGGCTTGAATACTCCTTATTGCTTTGTACAATGGATGAGACTGCTTTACACATGTATTAATCAGTTAGGATAGGATTTTCAAAAGTGCCTAGTGTTGGCCTAACTGCTTCTATTTAAAAAAATAGTGAAACCCCTGCTGACTTTAGTAGAAGCACAGGTCAGCCAACAGTGAATATTTTTTAAAATCCTGCTTTTAACTTTTTTTTGTATTTGAAATTCAGATCTGAAAAAGTGTAATGAAAATGATAATAACTAGCCCTTGTTTAATTATAGTTATGGAGACTTGCAGACATATAGCAGATCAAGGAAGTATAAGACATACATCTGCAAGCCGGACTCTGGTTGTCAGGGGAGAGGTATCTTCATCACCAAATCTGTAAAAGACATAAAGCCTGGAGAGGATATGATCTGCCAGCTCTACATCTCAAGGGTAATCTCCACCCCCCATTCTGTATACCCAGGTTATTGTTTTGTCACCGAGCCAGAGATTAGTATCCAACTCAGCCTTGCTTGGCTGTGCTTAGCATTCTCTGGTCACTGTCCTTCCTGTATGACCATTAACATAGTGCCTGCTTTTTGTATCAGTGTGTCAACTTTTATTCCAAAGGTTTTAAATAAGGTGTTTTAGATAAACTCATCTGTCTTAATCAGGGTGGACAGACTGTTCATGTAAAGCTAACCGAATGAAAGAAATTCCCTTTCTACATTTCAAAGATGGAAAAAAATTTCCATAGATAGCAGGAAGAGAGAATGAAGGGATTGTTTCTCAGTCTCTGCAACTTACTGTATATATCTTTTTGACTGCCTGTCACTGACACACTCTCCTGATGCTTTGTTCATATTGAACATCCATGTACAGACTAAAAGGATCTCTTGTATCTTTTAGATGTCAGTAACTTAAATAGTAGAAGTTTGGCTCACATTGGTTTGTCCTTTCTTGTTGAATATGTTTTATTTTTATTGCCTGAGTTTGCATTGCTTTACACTCAGTGCGATGATATTTCTGTATCTGGATGTAACTCAATACCTTTTGAAAACTATCTGATCAATTACATTTCAGAGGATGCTCCAGACATCAATGGTTTTAGCAGAAATAAAAAACTGACCTGGGGCACAAGGAGCCTGCTGATTGGAGTCAAAATAAATAGAAGGTCATTGTATGGGAGGGAAGTGGATAATGATGGGGAGGGGGACATGCAGAGACCCTGATAGGAGGGAGGAGGTGGTATGTATTGCAGGGAGTTCCTGGAAAAGGAGAGTGGCATACTGGGAATTGTGGGAGAAAATGGAAAGATGAAAAAAGCCCCTGATGTGTGTAATGAGCTTGGCCTAAAGGAGCAACAAAGTGTGCAATACCCTAGTTATTTATTACTGGTTCATTTCTAGAGACTGAGCATTGTCTGAGGAACTGGTTTTCAGAACTGCTGGACTCTGGCTCTGGAATTGATGCACTGTGTGACGGTACAGATTGTTCTATATCTGTTTCCCCATTTTTTAAATGTGGGAAAAAGATATTTATTTCATTGGATCTTGAACAAACTCACTAATTTTAACAAAATTCAGCATATGGAAGGAATTACAAGAGTTGTTGTTGTATTATTATTATACAGATGGTGTGCTCAGTACATAAAATATATTATTGCACTTCCATAAATCCCCAATTTTTAAAGCTATCTTCCTCTTATAAACAATACTTTAATTTATAAGGACTGATTATATACAGGAAACTAGGACATCTATATGTTGTTTGCATTACACCAGAATTTGGAGTCATAAACATCATTAAGGTCCATTCTGTGGGATATTTTATCACTATATCATATTAAGGAAAAATCCAGATATATTATATGTCCATGACTAGTTCTGATGATTTAATTTTTATTAACGTAACCATGTCCAACCTAATATTTGGAATTTCCCTTATTTGTATGAAAAAATCTTAACCTAGATTTTAAACTACTGAGGAAAATATTTGCTTTTCCTTGGGCTTTCTAAGGCAATTTATGTAACTTTAGTAAGGAGACAATTAATATTGAAGTACAAAGAAGGCCTAGTTGTCATTGAAATCCTGAATTCTAGAGAAGTTATATCTGTGGTCTCCAGTGTCTTAACAAACAACTAGCTCCATTTGTAAATACTGCTGAACTGATGCTCTCATGTCAGATTGGGAAACTTTTTGGGGGGATACCTACACTGAAAGTCAGACACAAGCTTGGACTCAGTGTTCATGTTCCTACCACCCAACATCCTCACTGACTTTCTCCCATTCCCCTCTACTTCTTACCTCAGGCAAGCACAGCTTGAAGCTTGCAAGCGCTCAGCTTCCAGGTATGTATGCACCTTAGGCAGTACCTGTTCCTGGTTTCAGAATAGTTGAAAGACCCAGAATTTGAATATAGAAAATGATCCACTACCGATCCCACAATTCTCTGCTTCTGTCTTCCAGCCCTTCTGCACACTTTCTTCTTCAACTACTGCCTGGAAGCCATGTGGCTTTTTATAGCTTCTTGTTCTGCTTTTTAAACCCTCATTTTTCTTGTGGACTGCTTCAGACTCACAGCACAACCTTAACCTTTTCTGGGGGTGCCTAGCCTACACTAGCAGCTAACTTCTTCTCTTCTAGTCCAAACATGTTTGTGATGTGCAACTACCTGGGTAGAGGAACACAGCTGAATCTCAGTCAATATCTGGAGAGACTATAGCAAACAACACAGTTTCAAATGAAGAAATAAGAACATCCATGGCTATAATGCAGTTTTGAGCAGCTTGCTCAGTCAAGCATTAATTAGACAGTATTGCAGTGTTTTGAGTACATTAGACATGAAACAACTCTACAGGAAGGCAACAGACAAGAACCAAGGTTTGGTACTTCTCTTCATGTCTCTTCTGCTTTTACCAGTGTTAATGGGCCAATGAGAGAAGTGCCACATTGGCTTCAGGTTTCCAAGTACACATTTGACTCCCATTCTAAGAGTGTAATTGAATGTTCTGTGTGGCCCTATGTCATCCAGTTTGGAGTAGCCAGTTTTAAGACTGGCTATGTGCCTCTGTCCTTATATGGGATCCCTCAATCATATGCTGTCATGGCAGAGAGTTAGGCAAGCTATTCACACAGGTCCATAAAGACCTGCTTTCTCAGGCACAAGTTCTGGAGCCACTGTTTGTCCTTCCACACTTGTCAAACTACCATATATTATCCCACTGCACTGTGTTAATTCCTTTGTTTCAGAAACTATGAAGTACACTTGGGAGAATAGAGCATGTGTCATTGCAGCATGCATCATATCATCCAAATCTGTCACTTCTACTCTCAGATGTCCATTTCTTGGATGTCCTTGTGCAAGAGCCGGGGAGAGGCTCTCAGGTTGCACGGCCTTGGGGGATGGGTCATGAACCAGTCACAGATTCAGAGAAATAAAGTTTATTTTATTACTGTCTCGAGGTAAAGATACGGTCCGCTGGGTCACGAGGTTCAGGTCCACTCCCTTGCTTTCAAGGCTACCGATTGGGCGCCTTGGGGCGGCTGAGTGGGGCCTTAGTCTCATACCTGGTCAGCGGCTCATTTGACAGAATACAGGACAAACATATATATGATTATAAACGCGCAATATTGCTTGTTAACTATTTATAAAGCTAGCAGTTAAAAAGCGGATATAACTAATAAAAAGCAGATATAACTAATTTACTGACAGAGTCACACACAATACATTACCAAGCAAACTAGCCAAGGGATTGACATTTCTGAGCATTTTCTGTGGAGGCCTCTGAGACGTCGTCTCGAGAGAAGGGGAGAACGGCTATTTGGGTGATCAGTCTGATTGCCCTTGTGGCTTAGTTCCTGTATTTCGTTCGTTTTCTCTCCAACGTGGCAATGCTTGTGTCGGTGTTTTATACTTTGTTTTAGCCAATTACCTTTTGAACTTGCGTTCGCTCCTTGTACGGTTGTGTATATTTTGTATTTCCGAGCACAACCACGAGTGTCCACTTCTTGCCCCAGCTTCCTGGTGCGGAAGTTGACTCAGAAGCCGGCAGTGTTGCGCACAGCTTAGCATGGTCGTGCCAGAGCGGCCTGGCCATTCATTTGGACTTTTTAGTGCAACAGTCCTCTGCATCTTCTGACCTTGCACATCCTTGTAAATCCCAGAAGGCCTTCCAGCACATTTCTGCACAGCTGCTCCTCATCAGAAAGACTCATGTCTTTGTCACCATCAGTGATTCTGTCATTGTTTCATAATAGTAGAGCTGCACAAAATCAAGCAACATGCTGGCCCAACAAAGCCATGTACAGTGGTGAGCTGCAATAACTTCCATTCTCATGGCCATTTCAGAAAAACTAGTTGCCTCACAATATGCTACAGATTCATTCCTACAAGGGCTTCGCTATGTAATACACCCTCCTTCACAGAACCTAGTGCTGTACTTGCATGTATGAAATAAAGTGTGGATATGAATAAGCAAGACTTGGCACGCAATACAAGAAACAGCATGGACAGGGAAGGGTGACTTGAACTTAGCCGTTGAACCATGGAGCAGTCTGGTGTGTATCGGTGTAAGCGTATGTTTAGTTTTAGTTTCCTGCTTATTAAAATAGAGATAATGATCCGTTCCATCGATCTACAAAGGTGTATTGTAAGTATTATTTAATCAATTTCTTCATCACACTTTGAAGAAGTAAGGTGAAACGTATGCACTAATAAGGTTTGGCTCTTTTTGAGCTGTAGGTGGGACTGTGCAACTATTTTCCTGATCTCAGCTTTATAAGTTAATGAGTTACTAACATTTTACTTGTACTTCAAACAAAACTGTAAGCAACTCTGCTTTGTATTCTGTTTCCCAGCCTTTTATTATCGATAAGTTTAAGTTTGATCTTAGAATTTATGTGCTCGTGACATCATGTGATCCTCTGAAGATATTTGTCTATGAAGAAGGCTTGGCACGCTTTGCTACTTCAACCTACTCTGACCCTTCACAAAACAACCTGGTAAGTAAAGAAGCCTGTTAATATAAATTAATGCTATTTATAACAACTATTTATTGAAATGTAGTGGTACAGGGTGATGATAATATTTTGGACTTCTAATACATTCTTCCTCTGAGGATCTCAGAAACACTTTATAGTTGGTAATAATATGGACTTAACACATCAGGGGATCCTGGATAAGATATGCATCATTTCGCCTACCACTAAAATGCAGTCACTTTTGTGGTAGAATATAGCTGCTGTTTAATTACACAGAGTGAAACTGCTATGTGATGTCAGGGCATTGAGGGTCTGACCCTGCAAACATTTGCATGCCTCCTTCCTTCTTTCTGTACATGACTCATGTAAATAAAGCTATTTGTAAATATATTTAGTGTTAGGTATATTTAGAACATAATTTTCATTGAAGCTGTTGGTTTCTTAAAAGTGATAGAACTGAAACACTGGTGAATTCAGAGAGGGATAAAATTGAGAGAGTACTGAGTCCTATTTGTTCTGATGAGATCATGGCTGTTCTTACTACCATTGACTATCTTGTGTTTTATTAAAAGACTTTCTACATTAAAGAGGAAAGAGGCAGATATCAGTCTATAATCTGTAGCCTGTTTGCTTGTTTACAGGATGATGTCTGCATGCACCTGACTAATTATTCCATTAATAAACACAGCGCTAATTTTGTCCGAAATGAAGATTCTGGTAGTAAAAGGTAAGAAGAGCACATTTCCAGAATAATCACAGTCAGCATGATACAAGTCTGCTTTTGAATCTTCATGTGCATTTTCAGACCTTGGAAATATTTATTTCTGTTTCTCTAGTTAATGATGCATTTTGTGCCATTAGTTCAATTAAACACAGCCTCAGATAAGTAATAATGAGGGGCCAAAAACGAGAGGTGAGCAAGCGGACACTCATTCAATTAAACATAAAATGCATTTGTATCTGAATTACATTACTCTTTAGTGGTTGTAACTGACTATTTTACACAACTAAATTTAAGTATATTGTCAGGGGGTGAGGGGGGAGTCCTTCTCCTACTCACATTTTTCTCCTGATCCTCTTCCACTATTATTTTCTTCCATACAGTGAAGCCACATATCTAGCAGTTTCTCCTAACACCTTATCCATTGTCAGTCGCTCTTAAGTGATATCAGTTTTCTCTTAGCAGTAATGTTTTTTGCCAATAGCAGCAAGGATTCCAGCAGTGTCAGCTTCTCATCTGCAGTGCTGTGTTGGTGCCAAATGCAGCTCCTGTTGTATGATCTTTCTCAAAACATTGACCTGGTCAGACCTACCTGGAGTCCAGCAGCAGGTGTTTTTCTGTTCAGTTTTCCCTCCTCAGGCCTTGTCTACTCTTGAAGGGTGAAATGTTTTAACTCTAGTATGGCAAATGCAGTACAACCCCCCTACTGGAGATACAGTTAAAGATGCTTTCTAGTGATGAAGCTATTCCCATGCAGAAAGAGGAATGATGGTGTCTGTATGGTTGCATTTACATTAACTATAGCTATACTGGCAAAAGATCAGTCCTAACTAACATTGCTGTACTTAAAACTTTGAAGTGTATAAACAACCTATGAGGGAGAAGTTAACTAAAATAATGGCTCTCTTCCATTTTGGGAATCCCCTTCCTATAAGCAATACGGGAGGACGTACATCACTGACACTAATTAGTGACATACCTGATTTGAAAGTGGTATATTACCCTGTCTTTAATCCTCAGAATAAGAAAAAACTCTCAACTAACAACTTTTTGTCTTTATTTGTTTCTGTGACTATATGAATATCCATAATTCCCAAATTTCTGTGCTAAACTTCTGTATTTTGGAATTAAGAAAATTGATTTGCCATTAAAATGGGTTACCAATTTTCATTGTTGTTGTTATTCCTAGGAAACTCTCCACCTTTAATAAGTACATGCAGAAGCATGGCTATGATATCGACCAGATGTGGCTGGATATGGAAGATGTCATTATTAAAACCTTGATAGCAGCACATCCTGTTATCAAACATAACTATCATACTTGCTTCCCCAACCACACTATGCCTAGTGCCTGCTTTGAAATACTGGGATTTGATATTCTGTTGGATCACAAACTCAGACCCTGGTTGCTGGAGGTAAGAACCTCAGCAAGATTCTGTTTTAGGTCCCATAACATGTCCATGTCCTAAACTGGTTTCTTCTTTCACCATGTCTTACCTGTCAGAACATACTCAGTCAAATTAGTTGCTATCATCAGCCTCTTTCTTAGCATTGACTTCCCTTTTTTCATCTCTTTGGGTCCTTCCTGTAGTATCTTCTGCACTATTCCTTTAACATGAATAGCTGATGGATGCCCAGCAGAGGGGGTTAAACTACAGTGTATCTAATAATAATCATTCCCACAGACTGTCACCTTGATCTCTAGTCTTGACATTCAAATCTGTCCCTGGCTGTAGGAGTGTCAACTCATGCACACAGTCATACTCTCCAGTTCTTTGCTATGAAGGAGTTTTCCAGGGTTATCTATTAACCTCAACAAAAGCTGCACATGATAATGGAAGAGGCTGAATATGGTCCTCATAGCATATCAGATTAGTATAAATTGCTCATCTTGCACCACCATTGACCACTTAAGTTCATTGCCCACTATACTTTTGCCACTTGGACCTGTTCTTTTGACAAAATGGCCCTATCCATAATGTCACTTCTGAATTTGACTGAGGCACGTCTAGATGAGCGTGCATGTGCAGTTTGTGGCACTTCAAAGCTGTTTGAGGTGCTGCAAACTGTATGCGGTGAACTGCAGATTTGCAGCATGGCACCAAAATTTGACACTAGGAGATCCTGGTGTCAAAACTGCTGCAAAAAAAAAGCAGCGCAGCTAACGTTTCTGGAGCATGCACCAGCAGACACGGAGGCTGGGTCCTCCAGGGAGATGCTCTGGCTGCTGGCCAGAGTGTCTCCTTTCCTCTAGTTGTCCCCTGACTCTTCCAGCTTGCTGGGAGCTGGGAGAAGTGGGGAAATGGCCATTTTCCTGAGGTGGTGCTTTTCACCCTGCACCACACCCCACATGGAGGGGCGCGCACAGCAGCAAAAAGCAGTGACACAAATTGTGCCACTGCTGTTTTTGTCATGGCAAACAACCCCTGCATGTGCATGCTTGTCTGAATGCACCCATGGGGCATGTTCCCACGTGCAGTGTTGTGCATTTCCCATAGCGCAAATAGCAGCAGCACGTTTGTGCACCTGCTTTGTGCCCTAGGGCATGCTCCTTCATGCACACTCCAGCATGTGCCCAATTGTCCTGGGTAGGGTAGGGCCACCTATACTGGCCTCAGCAGCCTTATCTGGGGGCCTCCCAGGGCAGCAGCAGCACCAATCCAGTCTCACAGAGCCTGGCTGCACTGCAGCCAAAGCATGGCTCTGGTTGGCCAGGATCCATTTCTGGTGATGTGGTGTGCATTGCTGCCACATGTGCCACAACACTTTTTGTGGCAATTCTTTTTTTGATACTAAAACATCCTGGTATCAAATTTTGGCAAATTTACAGCGCAGCACACAGTTGCACATTTGGTGCATGTGGTTTGCGGTACTACAACTACATGCACATGCTCATCGGATGTGCCCATAGAGTCATCAGATAAACCTGTTTTATATATTGAAGTCTGGCAGTGTTCTTTCTCAGTTACAGAATCTAACTAGAAACCCTCAGAATGCAGATTCTAAAGTAAGTTTAATATCCTTATTTTTCATTGGATCTAACTACAGTAAACAAATTTTCCTTCTTGTCTGTTAAGGTGAATCACTCCCCAAGCTTCAGTACTGATTCCTGGTTAGACAAAGAAGTGAAGGACCACCTTTTATATGACACCTTGGTTCTGATAAACTTGGGAGCCTGTAACAAGAGAAAGATCCTAGAAGAGAAACGGCGAGGAAAAGAGAGTCTTCTGAAGCAAAGCCGTTCTTGGGAGATCAGGTG